CAGATTAAATATTTTCTCCGAGATATTCCCGAAGGTTACGAATCAGATTATCGCCGATCATGGTGGTGCTGGATCGTATCAGGATGGTATTGTAGTTCTCGCAGAGGATATTAGGTTGAATAAAGAAAGGCTTTTAAAGTTATTTCTACCTTTTTGTGACAGAATTATGACCATAAGTCCATAGTAGTATCAGTTTCAACTTAATTCTATCAACTGCCTAGGTGATACTGTAGATACTAAGGGTTTTACAACTGATATGAATCGCCGAACTACATAGATTCAAGCACTGCCACCTACTGTAGGGCCAGTGAAATGTCACTAAGCCCTAGCCAAATCATTCGGCAGTTGAGTGACTGAATATCGAACCGATCATCGATCCCTGTTAAGGTCAATAGCGAACAAAGCGCATCAGTTAATTGTACACAGTGGAATGGTCCACGCGGTGGTGGTCTTACTTTTGCTTGTACTTACTTTAACTAATATATTTCTGTAATAATGTATTTTGCGTCGTACAGTCTTCAAAGCATCTGTAGTACATTAATACGTCAACGGGGCAATCCACGTAAGGTGCTGACTGTGAGGTGTGACTTCGACGTTAGCTGGTTCTTTACATCATTCCCGTCTAGCTCGAGTAGGCCTCCAATCATTCGACATAGATCATTAACGCCGGTGATTTACATTACGAATATCTCAGGACCCAGATCATGGACTAGTGTTGTGCAGTTTTATTCTTAAGAGCCTGTATGGAAACAACGACATGGGGATATACTTGTGAACCCTTTACGGTTTTTAAATAGTCAGATTTTCATCAGACCGTCTACGCCTAGTGAAAAATCTATCCTTACTACAGATGCACCTACACTAGGGTTAGGTGCGGTTCTAGAGCAGAGTAGTGAAACTGTCATTTTTATTTTGAAATGATTCAGCAAGAGTGGAGGATGCTTTGGCTATGGTATATGCAGTAGAAAAGCTTTGCAAATACTTGTTTGGTTTAGAATTCCATAATGTAACTGATTACCAGGCATTAAAGTTTATTTACCATCCGACTACGTCACTTCATTGGTTATCCGCTGCCTTGATCTAAAGATGGAATTTAAGTCTGAGTGCTTATGATTTCATGATTGAGTACCATGTAGTCAAAAGCATATCATATGCAGATTTTCCATCACTCTATTGATATTTTGAAAGGCCGCCTAACGAAAATGATTGTGTGTCGATTCAACCGGTACCTGTTTATATAACAGAACTCGTGAAGGATGCCCGTTAATTGAACTGTAATCGGTACAGCATAAAGAGGTTGGAATATTTGGTGCAAGCGTAGGTTTTTTGGGTTTTAAAAAAGAGAGAGAGGACATAACATTGTATTGTGAGTGATTTTTGTGCTTTGATTGTTGAGTAATAATTTTCCCTACACTCAGATATGCAGTATTAAACGACCTTCATACTGCCCATCTGGGGGCATAGAAACTGTTTGTCAAACTTGTCAGTGACCTGAGACTGTAGCTGATATAATTCGAATATCGAAAACATGTCCTGATTGTTTACACAAGCTACCGTATAATAGACGCACTTGGAATCCCTAGTCTGTATCTTAAGAATTCTGATAACGTACGTGGGCCGATTACTGTGGTCCATCTCAAACCCATGTTGCGCTTTAGTCGTCACTGATTCATATTAAGAATGACCAGAAGTTGTACTCACGAAAAGTTCTAGAGAAAAATTTAATCAAAGCTCGATGTGAAAGATGTTAAGTAGTGAATGAATTCTCAGTGTATTAGTAGCGGATGATGGAACTCACTACACGCAGAAATTTTAACAGCTAGCTTACTGGTATTCGATGTCATCATCTCTTTACAGCTCCACAACATCCTCAGTCAGACAGTCTAGCAGAAAATCCAGACTACTTAATAAATACATAGGTAGAAAATCAACATGTGGCGTGCGTAGTGAATGACCAATACAGTTATCGTACAGTTAAATATTCGATAATATGTTTATACATATCATAATAATGCAGCACAATTTCATACTACGTACTTAGAATTTCACTTCTTGATTATGTCATGTCAAAGTGCTATACTTATGGGGATTATTACTATTTCGTTACATTATTTCAAATTAACACTTCCTATTAATTTACTTGCCTTTGAGAATGAAAACTTACGTGCATGAGCTTCACAGGATGCATACACGATATCATTAACCGGTTAATAACATGTACTTTAATATAATCCAATAAGAACTACAGTAAGCATAACAAAACTTATTATACATACGACACAACCTTTAAATATACCTTGTCTCTCTGCTTAGATACCATTACATGTTTTAAAATCTTTCTCTTCTCCTAAGGTAGTTTTTGAACTTCGATTTCATTAGCATTTTGCTCTCTAATTCTAACCTTACGTATTCTGTTTATTAATCATATCTAACTTTCACTGCATTCTTCTACTAATTACTTTATCATGTGCTCGCTAATGACTGGACTCAAGATGGTGCCCCTGAATTTCTGGTGAGAAGCCGTGACCAGCAGAGTTCAATCCGTGTCGTATGAGACACTTACCCACCTCAGACAGTGGATGAAACGTTGTGCAAGATCATGAATAGATTGAAGCTAGGCATTGACACCGTTAGATGTCGGCTCAGTGGTCCAAAAGTAATAATATTATAAAGTCTAGATATGGGACAGTAAATAGAGGGATATGTAAAGGGTTACAATTTATCTTACATAGAAATTCTCTTTGAGTCATATATGCACCTGAAGCAAGGCTGGTGATCATTTGATCTTTGAAGATTTCAATAAGCTACACGTCGTTCACTTGGATGCTGTTACCTTAAATTGATGTGCCAGTGCTAACTCTCTGTAAATTAGTAATTATCGTTTCCGTGTAGAGTGTATCATACCAGACAAGGTATGTTTCGACGCTTCATGTCCTTTGGCAACAACCCTAATCACTTGATCTCGCAACACTTAAACTTTAGTAATGCGTAGTCATGAACAAGTGCTAAATGTCGATTGTTAAAACGCGTACTGATTGCGTACGGCAGCAACTGAAAGCCATGTTTGCCCTTAATCTGTGCTTTTTATATAACAAAAGGAAAACAAGACGATGTAGTAGAATCACTTCAATACAGTCATTTAAGAACAGAGATACATTGGGTGTATCAGAATAGAAACAAGTTGAAAGTTTATCAAGTTCCTTCATTAGGATCTAAGCACAGAATACTGTTGGTAACACAACCCATAATCGAACTTATTAGATATCAGGCACGATACGAAAAAAATAGCAGAGGAACCCATTTTCATGTTGGTTAGCAGCATAATACCTGCTAAAACACCAAGTCTTGATGGTTGACAACTACGACGACCTTTCATTCTCATTCGCATGGAAATTGATACATTAGAAGTAATAATCCATAATAATGTGCTAAATCATGTAGAACTGCATTATCTGCCGACTTCGATGTATCACGATCTTCAAAATAAATGTCCCTCATCGACCAACCTACTAGAGGCAAGAGATAAAAGAGCGGCCCAACATAGCGGCTAACTTTATGACGAAATATTTATAGGTTTCACATGGCCATTTTGTAGTGTCTTAGAGTTAATGAGGAGTTTTTCTTTATATCTTAACAACACTATTCAAGTCCTCCATACTCTTCATCACAAATGTCAATGTCTGAATAATAATAATAAGTAGTAAGGCTGATCATCGCGACATGCATGCTGGTTAAGATGTTGTATTTTGATGGTCCAAAAATTTGAACCTAAACGCCGATTCGAATAACAGTGGTATTACGCTGTAGCGGTAAATAAATCCCCAAAATAAATAGCACTGTAAGTTTTCGACATTGGATACTGACCATATGTTTTAGTGGACTCATCTAGCTGAAAGCGCTCGGTCATGCATCCGTACCAGATCACGTGTGGTAACGCTGTGCTCAACATCTACCGCAATCGCTAGCCAGATTAGATCAGAGAATTCCGATATATTGGTAATCGCCAAATATACTCTTCCGATCTCCTCGACTCTGTCTTTTGATTTCTCTTGGTGGGTACGGGTTATATTAGAAGGTGTTGCTGGTAAAAGCATTGTCAAACACCGAATACCTGTGCCATCTTCAACGCAATTAAAATATGGTAACAGACACCAATGTATAACGGATGGAACACCACTTCCTTAAATACAGAAACGGAATTATCTTGAACTGTAATTCCTATCTCAAAAATAACTTTCTAGTCAATTGATCCGTTCCCAAAGTCAACATGTATTTCGGTCGCCATTTAGAGATCTTAAATTCTTTTGCTTAGATATGTTTTGCATATTGAGGACGAACAGTATGTGACCACACCTGGAATCTTGCGTCAGAAAAATAAGTCGATAACTTACTAAAGATCCCGGAAAAATAAGCGTATTTAACGTGCGAGGACAATGTTTTGGCCGTGTTTTATAAACTTCCGTACACTCAAACCTTCTTCACTTATTTTAATCTTAGGAAAAGAGCTGAGTTCACATTGTTACTTAGTATTTCAGAAAATTACGTGAGTGTCACCACATCTTGTCTTTTGGATTTCTTTAATGACAGTGGTCATTAAAAACAGCTTAAGAAGCTTTAGTTGAATAAAAATTCACTGAGATTTCTTACCGTCGAGTGATCACCAACAGGACCTTTCAACCAGAGATGTGTTATCATGTTCATCAGTGAATCATTTCAATCCGAATCTAGATCTCAAATGGAAACTAGATACCAAAATACATAAGACAAACGATTGAACTGGCCTCCTTATTACTAGATACTGAAAAATATCCTTACTGCTTGTCCAAGTAGAACAGCTAGTTCGTCTGCACAAAAAAATAACAGCCACCAACCCATATTAATACATGAAAACATGTATTCATACTTAATTCGACTTCTCGGACCCAAAAACGGACAAAAATGAGAGTTCATATATTGCAAATTGCCTAGACTCAACTTGTTTGCTCACATTGTCTAAAGATCTCTCCTCAAGGTTACTAATGTTGCGGCTTCGACTAACTCATTATTCGCGTTGCTCATACTTCACGAGTTCTTTCAGTTATATTAGCAAAGAACTGTTCCATCCTGATCATTTGCACGTAAAAGCGATAACAAATCTACTTATTGGTGTTCATGATAATCTAGGATTGCCATGGGGACTGACAATTGCAACCACTGCTATCCTAGTACGAACAGTTGTAGCCGTTCCATTGTATATCTACGCTGAGAGGAACCAAGCTAAAGTTTCACATATTGCCATTGAATGTCAACAAAACCGACAGATGATGCAAGCGAAACTTAGTAATTCTGAGTGTTATCGTAATTTGAGTAATAAGAGAAAATTAGTGCTTGAAAATCAACTGGTAGGGTTCTTTGAATAAATACATACTTCAAGTTCAGACGTGTCTTCATTGAAACATGCGAAAAAAATGGATGTCACCCATTGAAATCGTCAGTTACAGGAATAATCCAAATCCCATTGTGGCTCACATTCACATTCTCTATCAGATACTTGAGTGGATTCCATCTGTATCCGCAATCCGATTCCAATAATCGTAAGTCTCGTGACTTATTGGTCTTTAACAGTTTGTCACTTGTGTACTCGAAGACACTCTCATCTTAGAATATGTGGGAGCACAATGTGCTATTCCCAGTAGGTCTCACGCGCTAGATATGATGTTTTATAAATCAATATTATTTTACGAAGAACGTTCGTCAACCACAAATTTTTGTTTGATTTAAACCTTTCTCAGAGCCATTCCTTCTAGGATACTATAAAAGCAAGGATTCCTCTACGCACAAAAAGTTCCTTAAGTAAATATTACTAATTTTCACAGCATGTTACATTGTATAAGGAAGTAATATTTCAGCAAACGCATTACATGCAAACTTCGGGAGTTATTAGCAATCGTATCTCAAAGATTAGGCATAACGAGTCCTCAGCATCACATAATTACTTGGTTTGCAATCATTGTTGGTAAAAGTACGGACCAACATTTAATAACATGCTGTGTTCTCGAAAAAAATTGAAGATATGTATCAATGCTTCAATTCCTAGTCCCAAGTTACATATGAATGTTTATCACCATATGCTTGTGGTTCAGTGAAGTAAGAATCATAAGTTTACCTACAAAGCCATCTACTTGTGAGCTAGTTTCAAAAAGGCTCGTCAGTTTACTGTCACATGGTCCCTGTTACACAGAGCAATGCCCAGTGTAACTGTACGATCTCACCAGGTAGTGACTAAAATTTCGATGATATTGACAACGATTTTAATTTGCAACAGGCCACTGTTCTCGCTTCTGTCAGTTATTAATAGTTGTATTCTTAAGGTTGCTCGTGATTCAATTCTCCATCGTTGGTAAAAAGACAAACCAATATAGCAGCGCAGGTTCACATCTCCAAAAATAAGATCACTCGTAAAAGTGAGACAGAACATCCGGACTACAAAATCAAGTGAATAAGTTTTGTTGCGACTGATTTCTTAATGGTGTTTTTTATTTCACTTAATAGTGATTGCCGATCCGTCTCTCAACGTTCCGTGCTCAAGTTTCCTGCTTCCCTCCATATGTACGTTAGCCGGATTGGCAAATGTAGAACTGGCGTGTTTAAGACGACCTCTGTTCTTCAATCCGAAATCTAATTCTGTAATACCAGATCCTTTACCTTATAATGCTGTGCGATTTGTTGGTTGGGTTGGAAATCTCGCTCTTTTCGCGTGTTGCAGCTTTTTTCCAAAAGTAGGTTGGTTACATTATGTGTTAATATCCTAGGCATTTGTGATTTATTGGTGTACATCTTCAATTCACCAACTATGTATACATCTTTTGATAATGCACCCTTGTTTACGAAGACTGCTTGGTTTATGGACCATACCCCATGAAGGACATTATCCGTATAAAGTTCTACTTAACTCAATGTATCATCGCTATAACATATCAAAATGGTTGCAAAATAAAAAGTCATAAGTAACAATTAGTTGCAATTTTTTATTATTTGTGTCGCAAGTAGCTGGCTATACACTTCTGACTAACTTATTTTTATGTATTATTCATTAGTACTCCTAAAAGTGGTACCAGGAATCACAAGATAAATAAAACATACGTATAGGAAATAATTTTGTTGAAATCTTCACCTCCAAACTAAAGAAAACGTAACATGCTAATAATGCTGAGATAGTTGTAAATGTTAAACGTAATAAAAGGATTGTCATAAAACTTGTTGGTCTGATTGTAAACTTCGTATAACATCACATAATCCAAATTGAAGTGGCATCTAGTTATATCTACCAGATGTCTATTAGTCGGTGACGAATTGAATCATCAAGATAAAAGAATAGAATAACCTAGAAAACCAGGTTAGAAATGTTGAATCAAAATTAGTGCTACAGCCAGTGAATACGCTGGCGTCTTCAATGAACCACTGCGATAAGTTTACGGAATAACTTAGTTGTAAAAGCTTTATTCTCATAACAATGAAGTGTGAGGAAACCAATTTTAATGAACATGGGTAGTAATACCATAAAAGATACAATGTTAAGTGATGCGGCACATGCTACTGAAAAAATTTCGGAGAAATAGACAAAAACCTATTGTATGTACATTTCTCTCAAAACGAATCGAAGAACCTATTAAAGCACGACGAGATTTGTTCGAAAACTGCCTCAGTTCCTTCATGAGATCAAGGTTAGCAGAATTACTAAGAATATGTAGATCAGGAACTACTGTCTAATAAAGTGGGGATCTCCGTCTGATGAGTGGAAGGTAGTTGAATTCAGACTAATTTAAACGTCACCTCAAATCAGACTTGCTATGTCGTACTGCTTACAAATTATTTATAGCATGGTGTGATCAAAGTTATCATCTGCAGCGATCCGTTTATCTACGTCACTGTTTAATTAGTTTATGGACAGCTTAAAACTATAAACCGAAACGTTAAATGTCTGTCTATTACCTATTTCCAACTTTGAAATAATTAAAAACTACCGTCAGTTATTTCAATACTGGTATATTGTTGAAAAACACTTAAAAATAAAACTGTACATTTCTCCTTCCATTTTACAATCCAGATGTGTTAAATTAATTCTCCACACCGAGAAATAATAACGGGTTCTTTGACCTTACCAGATTTCGATCCAACGGACTACAAAACCATTTAAAAATTTATTTAGTACAAAATGGAAATCGAACATGTTATACAGTAACTTTTTAAAAAGACGTGTTACCAAGCAATTGAATCGCATGCAGAAATGGAGACCATTTCCAAATAAATTACAGGAAACATCCGCAGTAAGGTACAGTGAGAACTGATAAATACCCTTTTTGTTGATACAGTAAAACTATTCTATACACCATAAATCTGACGTAGTAGATATATGGTAGTCTAACATTAAGCGGCTAGTAATTAAAAAAGAAATGTATCAACGGCAAATGCAACTAACATTTTTGGGAATATTTTAAGCGTGTTAGTGCATTTGAATTTCTTACTTCATCCAAACGGTGCCTAAAACTCATTACCAACATCAAATAAATCATGTCAATAATTGTTAAGGAGATAAGAACTAACCTCCATTTTTTTTACGACATTTTGTCCATCCACTACTCGACCAAAAACAACATGTTTGCCATCAAGCCTATAAAAAGACGTTTAAATAATTTAATAAGTGTCTGAGACCGTTTGTACATTTATAAACAGAAAATTTTGAGTCACTAAAAATAGGTTTTGTTGTTGAGGTTTTATGAATATTCATTTAATTGTAGTGAAGTTCAAAATCAAGAGAATACTAAGATCGTTTTGAAATGTTGATAATTTGGGGTCCTATTACTCTGGATAACATCCTTCAACTTGAGGTTCGTGAGAAGAAAGATATTAAATGTCTACTTTAGGTAAATAAAATTTCGTAGCATGAAGCAATAAAGTTATTTGGTGTATGAACACCATATCAATAATTCTGTGGCTGCACGTTGGATGTAGCAAAATCGTTCTAAAACGTCAGCCCCAGGTTTTCCTGTATGCTTTATGAATGACCTCCTTGTAATCCCTTTACTGAGGAATCCTAACGCCATGATAGAATGAAAGTTAGTTTACGACTTGGAATATCCTTGGTTAGCATCTCTTTGCACAGGACTAATAACAGTATCTTAAAATCTACAAACCCAAATGCTTTGAGATGTAGTTTCAAGTGCATTTTCTGTTTGTGTTTCAAATGACTAGTAACATTTAAGTTATATCACTCGATATATAACAAACGTCACTTCACAGTGCTGTTTTTTCGCTTTGGCAATAGGGCATGTCAGTCAGTCAGTCAGCTACAACGTAGGACCAGGCACATTTATGCATCGGTCCAAGTTGCCATACCTCATTAACACAACAAGATGGACACCGGATTCATAAAAGTAGTTAATTCAGAGGTGGTAATGTATAAAAGAAAGATTGCAATAAGGATATAGTACAGGAAGAAAGAATTAGTTCGTAGAAAGAAAGATATGAAGCAATTTTAATCTCTTAGTTTAAGGGAAGACAGAGAGTGTATACACCGACGCCATTGTGATCGATTCTGAACCGTCACCAAGAGTCTCCAACCACTCCTTACGATAGTCACGCAGACCCCAACCAAGTAGTCTGCATCTACCAACATGGCTCAGACTGGAAGTTAGTGACTTCAAGCACTGATGCCACGTTTTGGTTTGGCCGCCCCTAAATTTCTTCCAACCATCTCCAACACCGGTTAGCACTGCACGTCGTAGTAATCGGTGTTCGAGCATACGTAACACGTGGCCCAACCATCTCAGCCGATGAAGATTCACAACCTCATCAACTGATTTACCATCCTTCCCTAATAGCCTGCGTCTAACCTCACTATTACTTACCCGGTGATCTCAGCAGACGCCAGCAATATTTCTGAGACATCTGTGGTCAAATACTAGTAGCTTACGAGTGTCTTCTACTCTTCATGGCCATGTTTCGCTGCCGTAAATTAAAACAAAACGGACTGCCGCGCAGTATACTCGTCCTTTTATTGATAGACGGATATCTCGCCTTCGCCATAGGTGACGTAAGTTGGCAAAAGCCAGACGAGATTTTCGAATCCGTGCAGAGATTTCGTCAGACACCAACCCATTAGGGCTGATCAGACTTCCAAAATAAGTGAAGTTGTCAACGCGTTCGACTACTTCACTCCCCATACTTAGTTCAGGTGTTGACGCAGACCAGTCCTGAAGCAGCAGCTTGCGTTTAGAGGGAGAGAAGTGCATTCCAAACATTCTGGTATTGTTGCTTAGTGCTACTAAAAGACTGCATTTTATCAGCGTCTTCTTTAAACAGGACTATATCATTGCGTATTCTAAGTCGATAAACGGACCTCCTGGTAGGAGATCAATTCCCGAAAATTCAGTCAACGAGAACATTGTTTCCATTAGTTGGTCTATGATGAAATTGAACAAAAATGGAGATAGCGGACAGTCTTGACGAACACCACTTGAGGTTGCAAAAGTAGATGACAGCTCGCCATAAGCTCTGACTCGACTAATAGTGTTCTCGTAAAGAACCTTCACGAGGTTTATGTACTTCTGAGGTACGCCTTTCAATGACAGACACTGCCACAGAATCTCGCGGTCTACGGAGTCAAATGCTACTTTTAAGTCAAGAAAGACCACAATTGTCGGACGCCGGTAAGTATGCCTGTGTTCTAGAATCTGATGAATGGTGAATATGTGGTCGATGCAGCCACGACCAGGTCTGAAGCCAGCTTGATTCTCTCGTGTCTGCAGTTCACGAGTCTTAGTTAAGCGTCCGATAATTATCGAGGCTAGTATCTTAGATACTATATTAGTTAAACTAATCCCTCTATGGTTGTCACAGGATGATTTTGACCCTTTCTTATATATTGGGACGATAAGTGATTGTGACCAGTTAGATGGGATAACGTCTAACTCCCAGGTCTTAGCTAAAATATTAGTCAACCTAATCGCTAAAATTGGACCACCATCCTTAAAGACCTCTGGAGCCAATCCATCTGGACCAACTGCTCTTCCTCGTTTCAGATTAGCTATAGCCTCTTGAACTTCAGCTAGAGTTGGGGGACCTACTTTAATGTTCCATTCACACTGTCTGGGAATGGAGGGTAGTTGTAGAGTAGTTGAAGGCTAGCTGAACTGTTCTCTGAAATGTTCCGCCCATCGTTCTAAACGTCTGAACTGAGAGCAGATGAGGGTGTCGTCTTTTTCCGAAATAGTCTCACTTACACTTGACTTATTAATTCCAGTTTCTTTTATTAGTCTGTAGAGCTGTCTTGTGTTCTCTATAGCCGCCGCTTTTTCTATCTCTTTTGCTTTCGTTGCCCACCACTGCTCACGGTCGTTCCTTAGACTTTTGCTTAACCTAGATCTGAATTGTTGTCGTTGTTCATCGTGTTCAGAGCCTGATGGGATGAGTTTACGAGAATCCATCAGTGCAATAGACCTAGAGGAAATCCATTGGTTCTTTGTAACCCTGTGGTTTAAATCACCGATAGATGTCGCTGCTGTTTCCACAGCTGTTTGTATAGCTTTCCAAACAACATCAGGGTCAGCCTCGTTTTCAGAACTACCTAAGTGTGACCTCAGTTGTTCCTGGAACCTACTTTTGGTTTACTCGCTGCTCAGTTCAGTTCTAATGGGCCTTTTTACTGTGGCTTTTTTGCGTCCAGTGAGGTGCAAGCGGATGCGTGACCGTATTAGGGCGTGGTCGGAGTCCAAGCAGGTACTCCAGAATGAGCGACAATCTTGTACCGACCCTCTCCAACGATGACTGATGGCAATATGGTCTATTTGAGTCCATCGTTGGTATGTACATATTTCTGGTACTTCTTAGATTATCACATACCACTTACGAGTCATACTTAATACAAATATATGATAGAAAAAATCTACTTTTTAATTATCCCCAATGGAATCATTTTTAACAAACAACACAAGCTAAGAAGCGACATCAGAAAAACGATGTCACTCCAGCTGATTATGGAGAATGGGGACATAAATGAGGCTCGTCGATATATATAAAAGCTTACCAATCGCATTTTGTTGTGCAAATGAAGAACTGAGATCCATTTGTATTTGGTCCAGAATTCGCCATGGAAAGAACACCTAAGAGAAATAATGCAACTGATGTGAGACAAGCAATAAAGCCCACCTAAAATGACCACATAAGCACAGAGATACAACCAGGTAGTCTACACCTACCAACATGGCTCAGCCCACTTGTCAGTGACTTCATGGGTTTGTGCCATGTTTTGTCTGGCTACCCCTAGCTTTCTCCCAACCTACTCCTATGCCATTGAATATCGCACGTCGGGGCAGTCGGTGGTTGGGCATACGTAACACGTCCCAGCCATCCCAACTGATGAAGTTTCACTACTTCATCAATTGATTTGCCACCCTTACCCAGTGCCCGTTTCCTAACAACTGCGTTACTTACTCGATGGTCCCAGGATATACGAGCGATGTTTCGAAGACATCTATGATCAAATACTAGTAACCTACGGATATCCTCTACTCTTACCGGCCATGTTTCACAGCCATAAAGTAGGACGGAACGAACTGCTACGCAGTAGGCTAGTCGAGTCTTCTGTATCCGTGCTGAGATTTCGTCACACACCAGACCACAAGGGCTGATGAGACTTCCAAGATAAGTGAAGCGGTCGACACACTCAACTACTTCACTCCCTATCATTAGTTCGGGTGTCGATGCAATTTAGATGAGGAAAGTGTTATCACTAAAAGCATGTCTACGATAAAGTTAAACAAGAATGGGGAGAATGAACAGTCATGACGAACACCACTTGAGGTGATCAATTCTGATGACAGTTCACCATAAGCTCTCACTCTACTAGTTGTGTTCGAGTAGAGAGCCTTTACAAGGTTAATGTACTTCTCTGGTACTCCTTTCAGTGACAAACAATGCCATAGACCCTCACGATCAACAGAGTCAGATGCCGCCTCGAGGTCGAGAAATACTACGATTGTGGGGCGTCTGAATGTGTGTCTATGTTCCAGGACCTGCCGTAGTGTGAATATCTGGTCTATACAACCACCTACAGGTCGAAAACCAGCTTGATTTTCTCTAGTCTGTTCTTCACGACCTTTGGTTAGGCGTCGAAGTATTATTGAAGCTAATATTTTAGACACTATATTTGTCAAACTGATTCCTCTGTGATTGTCACAAGAGGACTTTTGCCCTTTCTTATAGACTGGCACAATCAGTGATTGAAACCAGTCAGATGGGATTACGTCCAATTCTCAAATTCTACCTAAGACCTCAGTCAATGTCACTGCTAATACTGGACAACCATCCTTAAAAATCTCAGGGGTAAACTTGTCAGGGCCTGCTGCTCTCCCTCGCTTCAGATTTCTTATAGCTTTTTCAGCTTCGTAAAGAGTCGAAGGACCTACATTAACTTGCCATTCAGGTAGACTGGAGATCGTGGGAAACCGAAGTGTGGCTGAAGGCCAGTTGAACTGATCCGTAAAGTGTTCTGCCCATCGATCCAATCTCCTGCATTGAGAATGTATAATATGTCCGAGAGATGGTGCAACACAGTGGTTAGAGACGTTATCAGATATGGCTTAAAATAGAAGCCAGTGGCGATCCTGCTGTAAACTTCTTTTACTTTCTTCATAAAAAGTGGTTGTAACTTCCTTAACTGAAAGAATTCTTTCTGGTGGTACCTTTCCGTTTCCTCCATTATTATCATTGTTATTTCACTTCCATACGCTAACCTGTGGTCGTTATTGTTCTCTCTATGTTTTTCTTATACGCACCTTACATTCTTTTTCGCTTCACATTTTCATTGTTTTGTGTGGCGCATATATATCTGGTGCCCTCTTGTACCAATATTTATGTGTTCAAATAAAAAGGCAAACCAAGATATGGTATCAATACACAAAGTACATGCCAGGTAATATTATCTAATATATGTAAATAAACTGGGCTGGTAGGCTCTTTGAAGAAATGCTAGGCAGATGATTATTAGACTCGTATTTCATTATGAACAACATACAAACCAAAAACAGATGATTTAGTTGATGTCGAAACCTCATACGAGTTAGATTAGAGAAGCGTTTATCAACAGTTCTACATTTTTTATATTGAACATTTAAAAAAAGGTATGAACACATTAATAGGACCAAAAGATAAACACACTCACCGAACCCTTCATGTCGGAGTTGGAAGTTTTCATCATCGAATTTACGTCCATATATTGATTTGCCACCGGTCCCATCCCCTTTTACAAAATCGCCTCCTTGACACATCTGATAAGACACGCATTATCAAGGATATAGTATAAAATCTGAAATATTTCATTCATTTGGAGGTGAATAAATTAAAACAAAACAATCAACTAATGGGTTTTGATGTTGATGAGTAACGATGTTGAAAAGCAACTTTAATATGGGCTTGCGTTGAAAACAAAGGCTATCTCCCGTACTACGATCTAAAGTCTGAGGCATTTGAACTAAGAGACTTTACTGTCAACTAAGAATTAGTTTTCCCCAAGTTTTTTAACTTTACACATTAATGTCGGTAATATGCACGATGTCTGGATTTATCTCACATCAACAGCTGTTCGGCTAAGTCTCCAGCCTGATTGTTTTACATAAATATCTGTCAATTTCCTTTAAGAATGCGAAAATTACGCAAAGGCATTTAAATACATTAGGTCATGGATACGAATTGTGGTATAACTCGATGGAAACAACAATTGTGATAACCGAATCCACGTTCTCCTGTACACAAGGCACGGAAGTTCTCAGCAGTTCTCGGGACAATATCTGACCGAAGCTCCATCACTATACGACCAGCATCTCCGTTTCCAATTCGAATATCGAAGAATACCCGAGGAAGATTTCGTTTTTGTTTTTTGGTTCGCATTTCTTCGTCACTCTGTGAAAATTGAGTACATAAGTAAAGGTAAAATTGGTATACACGTTAAACTGTAATGATATGCAGAAATACTTGTAGTAGTATCATAATAGTTCTAAAATATAACAGTGCTTGAATTAATTAGAAACAAACACTAAGTAGGAAAAAAGGACTGAAACTTAGATAACTATCAACCTTTTATGCAGACAGAATGGCGATTTTCTCCAAGTCATCTGAAATGTATGAAGCTACATGCGTGGAAAGAATCAGTATGATATAATAGCACGTATTTTAAGTTCTTTTTCTAGTAATCGTACCACCTAATGAAAACTGACTTTAGAACTGTATTCGATAATTTTGATGTTTGATTATAATTTCTTGAAAAAGCTTGGACCAGATTGCCAGGTGAAACGTTGGATTTACTCCAAACCCATTCACTGAGATTTCACAAATACATTCTTCCTCTTTAATGTCTCACATCAACTCGGCGCCCAAATATTGTGAAACTATTTGATCAAATCTATACAAAAGTTCTTATAAAAAACCAAGAACGGTTTGGAAAATTGTCTTAGTTACTGAAATAATCCGACACTTTTACTGAAGATCATTTTCGAGAAAATCGAAAAGATCGTCAAGCGTTATACTGATGTGATAAATTACCAATGAATCATATTGGTTAACAGTACATATTCATCGTTGCACTTGTGTTATTAAGCACAGCAATCCATACGAAAAGCCTTTAAAAAAAATTAATAATACTTTATTGATCAGCTTACTCTGTAAGAAAAAACCTAAAGTTCGGAAACCAAACATGTTAATTACATACAATATTACAAGTAATAATATCCTAATCAACATGGTTGGAGTGAACATTTTCAATTCCTACTTGTGTTTATCAAGTAAAATTACTCAGTAAACAGAGTAGAGTGGAAAATTTTGAATATAATTCGTGGATACTTAACACCACGTATTGGTAAAATCAAACTTATTAGAAGCCTTCACGAACTCCGATCATACTTAGAAACCGTTCAATAAACTTAAAAAGCATTAAGATATATTCGTTATATATATATATATATATATATATATATATATATTACTGGATTTCAATTGCTTTGTGAGTGACGGATGAAGAATATAGTTAGTATGACATAGCGCGTTTGTGCTGTTGCGAAGTGTAGCATTTCGAACTAATGATATGTCTATGAGATTTTCCATGCGTAGATTACATCATAAACAATTTAATTCAATTTTTTTAAAACTTACCAAGTCTTCAACATTTTCTGCAGAATCTGATGGGTTGACGATATCAGGTTCATCCAGTTTTCGTCCTTCTAATGGAGCGCTGCCATATTTCTTTAACCAATTCTCGTCCGACCAGACTTAAAATGTGAATTTCAATATAGAAATATGTAGGGAACATTTTATTGAAATCATAATCCATGGGGATATTTATATATAAATTTTACTAAACGTTGGAGAGTCAGCTCTCCCTCTCGAAATGTCCTCACATGGCCACGCGTATACAGCCACTGCCAGGGAAGTTCTACTGACTAATTGTGTGTAGTTTACGAAATAAAGAGAACGAAAAACGAATGTCCGGTGCTTTAACCGGGTTGATGGGTACGGAGATCCACTCAGAAGAGATGGCAAACCCTGAATCCAAACCAGTGGTGCACATGGGCTGCAGGATCCTGAGGGAACAAATGGCGTATGAGCCTATTGTTCGTCACCGACCACCATGGGACTGCATCTCCTAACGTCGCCCTACTACCTAGTGGATTAGCCCTCACACATATCGAATAAGATTTGTGTGGCGTATATGTATTTGATGCCTCTTTGTACCATTATCTATGTGTTAAAATAAAATAACTACATTTCAGAAACTGTTTATTCTTTGTACTGCAACATTTTATATCTTTGTAAAAAGTATTTCTATTCTAAAATCCAGATATGTTAGCCGCGTCAGATCCTAGGAGACCCAATAAACTTCGAAGGTATGTCTTTATGATCATTTATTAAACCATTAAGATTCGTCCCATTATCACAGGATGCCCCTCCACTAGACCAAACTATAGACTATCTTAATTTTTTCGGAATAGTCTTAAGCATGTGTGGACTGTTGTTTGAAGTAAGTTGAAAATATGAAAAGTCTATGCTAGTAGATGAAGTTTGCTGCTTGGTTGGCCGTCGTTTGTGCTTTCATAACGTATGCCAACTCAAGAACTGGGGAAGATACAAAACAGCTGATCAGTGGCTTCATGTAATTATGTTCCTTTTCGTTACTAATAGGTGGCATTTTCAGGTTGTCTATCAGCGCACTTATAATATGTTATATGCATAATCCACAACCTATGCAGCTTCCTTGGTGATTTTCTTGTAAATTATGCGGATTTTTTGAAATAAAAATTGGTTGTACTTTGACTTCTTGATTTTAAATCTCGGATTCACTCACTTCTTTAAATAACTTTTCATTATTCTAGGCTGAATTACCACCCCTTCAGCTCCCTGCGGGTTCATACAATCCAGTCAATAAGCGTGTTATATATGTTGGTAGGCTCTCATTTATTTAGGTAATATTGTTAATTTTTAACAGGGGGACTATCAGAGCAAGTTGATGTACCTCTTGTTCGTGCGGCGTTTATCCCTTTTGGAGACATAGTTAGTATTAATATGCCCATGGACTATCAAACTGGTAAATGACATTCTGTTTTCATTTCCTGTTAGAAAAACACAGAGGTTTCGCTTTTGTTGAATTCGAAGAAGTTGAGGATGCTATGAGTGCCATTGATAATATGGTAAGTTATATTTTCATACGCTTCAATGAAATTTAAAGCACAGAGTAGCATTTTGAATATAATCAGTTTAAAATTCGAGATTAGTATAGTTGTAAATTTCTTGTACCACGTTAATTTAAAGAATGTGATGCTTTAAAAAGTAATAAAGCTTATCGTCCTTGTCATGCTCTCAACATTTATTTTAATGTTGATACATTTAATACACTACATCTAAGCATCTCATAAGAGACGTTCTACGAGTTGTTTTGAACATATTATAGCGTAACTTATTCAGCAAGTATATATTTACGTACTCAAGTGTCAACCTTATTAGGGCGGTCAGGAATCAATAAGTTATTGGTCCATTGGTAAAATTCGGTAACAAGTACTAGAATTTTCATGGTTCTCACCACTAAACAAACAGTTGATAAGATTAATCACTACACCTTAATAATCTATTTTTTTCTTCACGTTGGGCTCAGTACTTTACCTGCTTCGGTCTGGGCACCCGGGCAGTATCACAGCCCACACACAAATATAATGAAAATGATGATATTTACTGAAAACTCTATTCTCGCTTCGATTTACAGTCAAACAATTCACATTATTATTATTATTATTATTATTATTATTATTATTATTATTATTATTATTATTATTATTATTATTTACTACGTCACTTATTCACTCTCTTTTATTACCACTTTGTGTATTCTCATTTTTCGACTTATACAGCAGCTCTCTTATAGTGGAAACTCGGTTCTATTTAAACGTTTTCGAGTCACTGCCTGGTTGAAAATTGTATGCTACCACCAAATAGGAATACTGTAGCAGCATTCAAACGGGCTGCCTCCAACGTTCGCATACTTATGCACGTCGGACAACAGATAGGATTGGTTAAGTTTTTAGAGAGTATTAATTTCGATATCTGTTACCTATCACAGACCCGTATTCAATACTCTAGTGAGGTACCACAAACCCATTCTCCATCTGTCGTTTCGAAAAGCTTGTTTCTCATATGTTTGCCCGGGGATCCTGTGGCATTTTCGTCTGGTCTTGCTGGTGTCTGTGTCGCACTAAGCGTTAGGGCTGAAGCAGCACTAATCAATTGGATCCCCATTAACAGTTGGTCATGTGCTGTTACACTACAAAGTTTCATCAAAGTGCGAAGAAATTGGTGTGAGAAACGATATCTTTTCGTTATCTCCGCCTGCGCTCCGACATATTGCAGCCTGGATGCAATCAAGGATGAATTCCACCACCAGTTAACTGTTCTTCTCCAGAAAGTGCGTTCGACAGATATTGTAGTGCTAGTCAGAGACTTGAATGCTCAGGTCGGGCGTCTAGGCACAGAAAAGAGTCGTTTAGGTGGCCGATGGGGAATTGTTGGTCGCAGGACAGATAACGGGGACCGTCTACTGCAACTGTGCACAGACCACAACCTGTTTCTGGCTCGCACTAACTTCCGGCACAGTCATCGCCGATGTGCCACCTGGCGTGGTTGTGTACAAGACTGCTGCTCCTTTTGGAGTATCTATTTGGACTCCGATCATGCCCTGGTGTTATATATCGCTTTTCTTACGGTTATGACCCGGCTATTCCTATTGCTTAGTATTCTCGGACACCGATTCACTCGACAAGTCCCCAAATCAAAACACGGTTGAACAGGAAGAGATTATATTCCAAATAACAAGGTTAGATGGAAGTCAGAAGCACAATAGAGAAAAACGTCAGTATATTTATAGTATCCTACATGAGAAGATTCTAGAGTGTTCTCCAACTATCGACTAGTGCTGATTGGTTAAGAATTAGCCAATCAGCGTGCACCAAAGCAATCATGCATTGAGCATGCTTTAATCCGGTCTATGTCCCGCTAACACCTCCCCTTTGAGCAGATTCGTAGGATCTGGTGCTAGGGTCCAACTGCAACCGAGTGACTGGCCTGTGCTTTCGATTAGTCCATCGTCTAGGCAATAGTGAAGTATCACTCTTTTCTTGCACAGAAACTGACGTGTCTATTCCCGGCGTTTTGATTTCAAAGGTGTCTAGCAGAACATCAAGAGGTAATCGATATTGAATCTTGTTGCTGGCTATCGAAGTTGCTTTCAATTGGTTAGCATGACGTACCCAAACTTCCGAGCCAACTGACACCTCGTAAACCACACTCCCCTTCTTTTTCACGATCCGACCAGCTGTCCATGTAGGGTGTTTCCCACGATAGTCCATAGCAAGCACTTTTTGTCCCACCGTGAACAATCGTCTTTGTGCCCCATGATGTCGGTTAAACTGATTCTCCATCGATAGGTTTCGTTGGGGTTCAATAGCTGGCGTAGGACGGATGGCATCGAAATGTGTTCGTATCTTTCTGCCAAGTAGAGCTTCTGCTGGAGAGACCCCGTTAATTGTCTGAGGGTTCGGTGTAGAGCGATAAATAAACAGGAACCTCTCTAAGATATCTTCAGTGGTCCCTTCCCCTTTGGATTTTTTTAGAGCATTTTTAAATGTACTCACAAAGCGTTCCACTTGGCCATTTGATTGGGGATGGAATGGAGGTGTTCGCAGGTGCTGGATTCCGTTCTGCCGACAAAATTGTGAGAAGATTCCGGACGTAAACTGTGTTCCGTTGTCACTAACTATCAATTCCGGGATTCCAAAACGACTGAATAGTTGACGTAGTTTACTGACTGTGCAGCTTGCAGTAGGGTGTTCCATGAGAAAAATTTCTGGCCACTTGCTATATGCATCAACCACCAAAAGATAATTTTGTCCATGGAGTGGACCAGCAAAGTCCAAATGTATACGCTGCCACGGTAACTGTGGTATTGGCCATGATTGCAGCTCTGCTTTTCGCGGTGCTTTTGTCGCTAATGCACATTTGGTACAGGAACGGGATAGCTGCTCCAGTTGGGTGTCTAAATGCGGCCAGTATACATAACTTCGTGCTAGTGCTTTCATGCGATTTATTCCAGGATGTCCTGCATGCAACTGTTCAAGCACTGCTGGTTGTAGCTTCTTGGGAATTATGACACGTTCGGCAAACAGCAGACAGTCATCGATGATTGAAAGAGAGAGTCTTCGTTGGTAAAACTGTTGAAGCTCTGTGGAACTGATTTTCGAGGGCCACCCTTCTAGGTGGAACTTTCTAACTTCTTGTAGTGTTGGGTCTCGAAGCGTTTCTTCCCTGACTTCATCTGACGACACTGGAGTGTTTCGAATGGCATCTGCCACTATACTTCGTATTTCTGGATCTACTGTTGTGGAGGCGATGATTATATCCTCTGGTCCAGGATGTTGAACTCCAATTAATCGGGAGAGAGCGTCAGCTTGACCGATAGTATTTGTCGACTGATACTTGATATTAAAATCATAACTCAGGAGCATTGTTGCCCAGCGCTGTAGTCTATTAGCCGTATAGACAGGGATTCCTTTCTTAGAACCAAAGATTGCAATCAAAGGTTTGTGATCTGTCAGTAGAGTAAATGTACGACCATAGAGCATTTTATGAAATCTTTTGACTGCGAAAATGATTGCAAGAGCTTCCTTTTCAATTTGGCTGTAGTTTCGCTCGGCTGGAGTAAGTGATCTAGCAGCATGGGCAATTGTCT